CCAGCTACTTGGGAGGCTAAGGCAGGAGGATCACTTGAACCTGGGAGGCAGAAGTTGCAGTGAGCTGAAATTGTGCTACTGCACTCCAGCCTGGGCAACAGAGCAAGATGGCATCCTAAAGAAAGAAAAAGAAAAAAAATAAATCCAGTTTTTTCTAAAGATTCCTATTTGGAAATGTTAGAATCTGGTTTCCTTGTTTTTGTTGTAGTGCTACCAAGATGTCTTCCTTATTTCTTAGGCCTGGGCAAGGTGCTGGCTTGAGTAGGGCCTTGGTTCACTGATGGTGAGGGATGTATCCAAATCTTTAGTTTGCATATTGCCTGCAAGATAGATCTAAAGATAACATAGGCTGGGTGTGGTGGCCCACATCTGTTATCTCAGTTCTTTTGGAGGTCAGGGTGGGAGGATCACTTGAGGCTAGGAGTTCGAGACCAGCCTAGACAACATAGTGAGACCCTGTCTCTAAAAAAAAACATTAAAAATTAGGTAGGCGGCTGGGCATGGTGGCTCATGCCTATAATCCCAGCACTTTGGGAGGCCAAGGTAGGCAGATCACCTGGAGTCAAGAGTTCCAGACCAGTCTGGCCAACGTGGTAAAACCCTGTCTCTACTCAAAATACAAAAAATTAGCTCAGGGTGGTGGCGGGTACCTGTAGTCTCAGCTACTTGGAGGCTGAGGCAGGAGAATGGCTTGAACCCAGGAGGCAGAGGTTGTAGTGAGCCGAGATCGTGCCACTGCATTCCAGCCTGGGCAACAGAGTGAGACTCCATCTCAAAAAAAAAAAAAAAAAAGAAAAAAGAAAAAGCTCTAGAGATAGATGGTTGTGATGGTTGTACAACAGAGTAAATATACTTCATGCCACTGAATTGTACACTTAAAAATGGCTGAAGTAAATTTTATGTATATTTTACCACAGTTTGTTTTGGTTAAGAAGTAATAAGCCAGTGGTGTGAAACCCACATTTGAGAGTTTCTGAGACAAGTACATACTGCATTAGGTAAAAGCGCCCTTTTATAGAAAAACTGGGTTGTGCTTTCCTGGCTGGGGCTGATGGTGAGTGTGGTTGTCATTCTTCTTGACCGTGGCCCAGAGTTCCTCCTGCTTGAGAATGTGGTGCACCACTTCAAGTACCCCTGTGTGTTGGACCTGAAGATGGGCACGCGGCAGCATGGCGATGACGCATCAGCTGAGAAGGCAGCCCGGCAGATGCGGAAATGTGAGCAGAGCACATCAGCCACGCTGGGCGTCAGGGTCTGCGGCATGCAGGTGAGTTACCTCTGCTCAGAGCCTAGGTGCTGCCACTTGCATGATTTGGGTTGTGCTCATACCTGCGTGCGATCTATGCCAAGTGTGTCCTCCTGAGCCCTTCTGTCCTTACCTGTTGACCTTGCTATGGGACTCAGGTGCAGGACCACTGTGAGAGCCTGCTGCCTTGACATTGGGACATGTAAGACTCTTGCCTGTCAACAAGATGTTCTGATGTTGGAGGAGGGCTCCAAAGCTGGTGGCAGGGAACCCATAGACCTGGTATTGCTTTCTCTTGGTTCTGCAATGGGAAAACCCAGGGTGAATGTGGCCTGCCCAGTTCCACTTAGATAGGTGAGCAGAAAAACTCAAGTTGGTCAAAGTGCTTTCAGACAGTGCTTGCCCAGGGCACTGTGAGCTCTTCAGACTTCCCTGGCATTCACCCTGTCTGTCTCCTGGGGTTTCAGGTGTACCAGCTGGACACAGGGCATTACCTCTGCAGGAACAAGTACTATGGCCGTGGGCTCTCCATTGAAGGCTTCCGCAGTGCCCTGTATCAATATCTGCACAATGGCCTGGACCTGCGACGTGACCTGTTTGAGCCTATCCTGAGCAAACTACGAGGCCTGAAAGCTGTGCTGGAGCGGCAGGCCTCCTACCGCTTCTACTCCAGTTCCCTGCTTGTCATCTATGATGGCAAGGAGTGCCGGGCTGAGTCCTGCCTGGACCGCCGGTCTGAGATGCGTCTCAAGCACCTGGACATGGTGCTCCCTGAGGTGGCGTCATCCTGTGGCCCCAGCACCAGCCCCAGCAACACCAGCCCTGAGGGGGGTCCCTCCTCTCAGCCCAAAGTGGATGTCCGCATGATTGACTTTGCACACAGCACGTTCAAGGGCTTCCGGGATGACCCCACCGTGCATGATGGGCCGGACAGAGGCTACGTGTTTGGCCTGGAGAACCTCATCAGCATCATGGAACAGATGCGGGACGAGAACCAGTAGGCCCTGTTCTGGGCCCCCAGAACCCCTTCCTCTCCACCCGCAGGCAGGGACCATTGTTCTGAACTTGCCGTGAGGACACACAGACTTGATTTTAAAGGGTTATATTTCTCTTTGGTGTAAACTAAAAGAAATGTTTTTAGCGGTAGCCTGGAATTCATATATATAAAGTGAAGGAGGGTAGACCACACGCCCTCTCAGCCAGGCTCCTCAGCTTTGTGGCTCTGATTGGTGTGTCCAGGCTGCCTTAGGAAGGAAGAGGTGCCCCTGGTGGGCTTGGCAGCAGGGACAGGGTGCCCTTGGACATTGGTTTCTCTTGTCTAGATCTTTGAGGTCTGTGGCTGCAGGGCTCTGCTGATTGTAGGGTAAAGCCCTGGGCTGGTGCAGGGCCCCTCCATGCCCACTCTTCCCTTGTTCCCCAGAAGTAGAGGGCTTTGGGTGCCCATTTCTTGGGGGCTTTCTGGTCTTATGCTGTGGGTGTCAGCTAGCTCTTTAATAGGTGCCCTCAGGGCACCACAGGGCTTACTGCACAAAGCTGGACCCATCCTTGGGTCTGATCTTAGTGTGGGGCTAGATTAATGAAGCTGGGCTGAGGCCAACTTATGGCAGAGGGCAGGCCCTGGGTTCCCCAGGTACCTGTTGGCATGTGACAGGTTGGCACCTGTCCTATTCCTGAAACAGCCAGCCTCTCTCGCCAAGTTCCCTTGCCTAAGAAGACCACTCCCTCCTACCCCACTGAAGTGGGGGATAGTCGGTGTCCTAGCAGGCCTCAGGGCCTCTGGTGGCTCTGGCCTAGACAGTATTTGCAGTTCTTGTGCTATGGGTGGGAGTGGTCTTCTTTAAGTTTCGGCAGCTGTGCTGCTGCTGGATGGGCTGCTCCTCCCAGGGCTCAAGGGCTGTGGTCCGCTCAGGGTCTCATTTCCCCAGGCCAAGTTCAAGGTGGCAGCTCTTTGTGAGGCGCTCTTGGCCCTGGGCCTAGAGGGAGAACTTTAAGCTTTTTTGCTCACAGGGACATGGTATGGGCTCTGGGTGCAGGTGCCCACATTCTGCTAATGAGAGCTTTGTCTGATCAGTCCTGGGTCCATCAGTTTGTCCATGTGTCCAGCTGCCAGCCCCTGTCCCTCGGGATCCTTCCTCTGGGGTGTAGCCTTGTTCATTAGTATATACTCATTCCTTCATGCTTTCCTCAGCAGAACACTCCCACTTCTGAGGTGAGCTTTTGCCTCATGCCCTTCCTCCACAGGTGTTGCCTTTTTATAAAGACCTGATAGCAGAATAAACTGGTGGTGTTTCCCTGTTGACCCAGCACCCTTTCTGTGGGCCTAGAATATGGCCCTCAACACTGACAGTGGGACAGTGAGGGCTTGAGGAGTGACCCTTCCTTTCTCATGGTTTTAGTCATTTTGGCTGCCAGCCCTTAATGGCACAGACCTGCTGCTTCTAAAACAGATGGCCAGGACATGACACAGATTTCAGCCATTGCCAGGGTTAGCACCCTCTCCTTTGAGCCTAGGGTCACTGTTCATTGTCACTTTAGGCAAGTGCCTGTTTGGCATTAAAGGTAAGCCTGCCAGCTGTGAGAGGCCTTGGTAACTGATGGACTCATTTCCTGGTCCTTAGAGATGCAGCTTCTTAAGGGCTCCTTGATGGATGCCATCTCTCCTAGCCCCCGGCTCTGGTGCCACTGGTGGGCAGGTTCCCATTCTTTGGGGCTGGGAGGGACAGCTTGGCTGTTTCTGGTCAGAAATTACGGTTTTCTCTCCTGTACCATTCTGTGGCTTCAGCCATGGGGGCAGTAGCCCTTCATTAGTGTAGACTTAGTCATTCCCTGGTAGGGTGGAGGGTAAGACATAGGGGTCTGGAGCTGTTTGGGACCTTTTGGGGATGTCCTGTGCCTCCCAGGTTCCTAGATTCTGGGAGGAGAGGCTGCCACATTCTGCTGCTCCTCACAGCGAGCAAAGGCTTCATCCACTTACATTCAGTATTTTCCTGGCACTACAAAGAGTGGGAAGGCCTGGGATTTGCTGCTGCTCCCCTAGAGCAGGGCCCCTCTTTTCAGCACTTTGGACACCTGGAGACCCAGCCCTGTTATTTAATGGTAGTGGGCAAGTGTGTGTGCATACTGTCTGCCACTGCTTTCTCCCTGTCCCATGCCAGAGCCCTCTCCCTGCCAGGCCCTGCCTTAGCCCCAACTTGGGACCAAAGTGCAACATGGGATCATGGGTTGGGGTGCTCGGGTGACCCCTCTCTATAGTGCTTCCCTGGGCCAAGCTGACACCAGCCCCTGAGGGTGGGGTGGGACGGGTGGTGCTTAAAAGAGGAAGGGGACCAGTGTAGCAAATTGCTAGGGACCCCCACCCTTCCCTCTCTGGGCCTGTGCAATGGGCGTGGGGATTCCCATCATGGGGCCTGGCGCCTGTGCTAGTTCGGTAGCTGCTGTACACGCGCTCACTCCTGACCACATGCACGTTCCCTAGATGCAGATTGCTTTGAACTTTAAAGCTGTACAATCTGGTTATGTTTGTGCTGACTTAAAAAATATTTTAATGAGAAAAAAAA